AATCTATTTACACGTTTTCATCTTTCAAAACAAATCCATCAATTATTTTCAACCAATTTATTATTAATTTAATTTCTCTTGAGTTTTTTTTGTTACCTAGCTTATTTTCTAGATCAGGCTCTTTATGGATATGACCTCGATCTTACCGAGTTAATTGCTACATCGCACACTCGTGCACTTGTGAGTTAAAACAAGCCGATCATAAAAAGCGGTCAAGCATGTTGTTATTGTTATTGTTGTTGTTATTTTTACTATTGTTGTTATTGCTATTGTTGTTGTTTATAATTGTTGTTTATAATTTGTACAATTAACCTCCCTGTGGTTTGACCCCGGTCTTGCCGGGTTATTTATTACTTCGACACTCCTGCACTTGAGAGAAGACAATAATCTTTTCGTCGTATCATGTAACATGATTTCAAGGGTAATATAAAATTTTTTATAGGACACATTTGCTATTACAAGATTAAACAGGGGTAGAGAAGTTTTTAACATCTTATTTGTACAAAAAATGTTTGAAATACCCTCAAAAGTTGAATTTTCTTAACTGTTAGGGTAATGGTGTATTCGGTTTTTTCTCCTTCTTAGCATAGTATAATTAATAAAGTATCCTTTGAATAAAAAATAATCTATAACTAAGATTGAGAGCCTTTTTATTATGGTTTTTTCATTAATATTATATGGGGTCAAAGGCGTTTAATTATTTACATGAATTAAATTTAATGGAAAAAAAAGTTATTACATATGGGATGCGCTCGTGCCTTTGGGTGGCATGTACGATGTCTTCTATCTGCCTAAAAATGTTAATCTTCATCTCTTGTGAGGATAATGTAGAGGCATATCCACTAGAATGACACATGTAAGTCATATCACGATGGTACGATAACGGTTGAGTTTTTTTCTCCCCTTTTTTTCTCTTTTTTTTACCTTTGAAAAACATACTAGTCCAATCAAAATTAAGTCTTTTTATTTCAATTATGACCTTTATTTTTTTAATTTCTCTTTATTTGTTTCAAATCTTTTTTTATTATTTGTTTTTTAATTTATCACTTATCATTTTATTCTATATGGTATTTATATCAAATTTAGTCCTCATTTTTTGAATTTTATTTAAAAAAAATTATATTCAACTTTATCTCTAATCATTTGATTTTTATGTGAGACTTAACCATTATTTTTTCAATTGTTTTTTCCTTGGTTTTTTTCTTGAAATTGATTTTTTTTAAAATTTGATCCTTTAAAATTTGATTTTTTTAAAATTGAGATTTGTTATATATATATTTGCAATGATCTTAGTCTCATGATTTGGGTCATGAATATGAAATTTTAACTTGAATCAATATTGATTTTTTTTATGTATTTTGTTTCTGCTAATTTTATTTTTTGATTTCATCATTTAACGTTAAATTTATTAAAAAATAAGTATCTTTATTTTTTTATTTAGATTTCTAAGATGATATCCCGACCTCGTGGTCCGAGTCACATATTTTTCATACTAACTCGGATTGATTTGGGGTTTTTACATTATTTTATTATTTTAATGTCAAATTTTCTCTTTATTGTTTTAATTTTTTTTAATCTTAAATTTGTGATACCAACTTGAATTTCATCGGAGCTCCTTTTTTTGTATTATTATTTAATTTAACTTTATTATTTGATATTAAGGTCTATAACAAAGTCACAAAAATTTATTTTGCTCTAAAACATGCTGGCAGCCTTTTAACAGTGTTCTTTTCGATCATGAAAGAAATTGAATCGGCTCATAGCAAAGCCAGACCACTTATCTAATTACCTGTATTTCTAATCTTATCTCCCTTTGTCACCATTTTTTGTTCCTTTTTCCTTTCAATTCACCCCCTCTCTTATATACTAAATGCAATACCACCCTTAATCCATGAATAGCTACGTCAACTTTTGGTTCTTCAAATGCTAGGGAGAGAATTTCAATTAGCTCATTAGATTACAAATTGTAGCTTCCAAAATTGCTTGATTGGATTGACAATTCAACAAAATTAATTTCTTGAATCAAGCTCTTGCTTGTTGAATTAGGTTTAGTTGTAAGAACAAAATCGGGGTGTGATTTTAATTTTAATTTTTTTGTAATGAATGGGTAATAATTTATCTAATCAACTTTAGTCCCCTTCTTTTTTATTTTGCTATTACATCCTTTTTTCTGTCTTTCACTTTTTCTTGATTTCTTCTTCTTCTTCTTCTTCTGTTTTTTTTTACTTCGTTTTTGGGTATTGAGAGCTAGTGGATGGGTTTTACAATTAGTGAGGGCCTCACTAGATATAGGATAGACTAGCTTGATTGTTCGTGCTCTGCCAAACATTTCTATGTCAATCAATTAATAATGTTATTTAATTTTAAAATTTTATATTAAAAAATAAAAATTTGTTGCGTGCACAGAAGCCGATTTACTATTTTCATAACAAAACAGGGAACATATATTTGATATAAAAAAGGGTTTCTTTAAAAACAAAAGAAACTGTACGTTGAGACAGAATTGTGTTTGACCAAAGACATTTTCTACGAATCTTTTGCAGAAGCCTCTCTAGCTCAAACTTACTCCTTTGTGCATATATATATATATATATATATATATATAAAGATTTGCCCTGTTGTGAAAAGTAATTTCAAATACAAATGCAAAAAGCAAAGAAAAATAGATGCTCTGATAGTTTTGGGCTACTTGATACGAAAATAAGAGAATAATTAATTTGAAAAAAAATTATATAAAAACTTAAAAATAAAAAACACTAGGTATTTTATTCCCAGTAAATATTCAAGAAAAACAAATCAAATAAAAATATAATTAATTAATTTCACGCATAATTAATTATAAATTAATTATTAACATTACCATTAAAAACCTTTAGTCTTATTGGAAAAGAATGATATCATCATATATTTTTTAAAAATAAAATTATAATTTTTTAATTGAAAATACATTATTTTATTATATTAAAAAATATTAAAAAAAATTGAAAATCCTAATTAAAAGTGTGTTTGAGATTGTGGTAGCAGTAACAGTTTAAAGTATTTTTCACTTAGAAATATATTAAAATAAAATTTATTTATTTATTTATTTAAAATTATTTTTGACATTATCACATTAAAAATATCTAAAAACATTAAAAAATTATTTTAAACAAAATATTTTTCTAAATTTAAAAAATGTGGTGCAAACACACCTAAAATCAAGTTAAAGCAATTAGGCTTGGTTATATGGTAAGGCTCGTAAACCTGGCCTTAATAAGGAAAAGGCCCAAAATCGTATGCCTTCCTTCTTTTCTAAAACTCAAGTGGATCACATGTCATTTACCTCGCCTACTACAATAAATTTTGGCCACCTCTAATAGCTAAGAAATTAGATTCTAGGTAATTTGGATCTCAAAACCTAAATTCCAACCTATTTTCTTCTAAAACCATCTTTGAAACTTTAATAATCATATTTTCAACCTTAAAACACCCTCTAATTAGAATGTATTTGATATTATGATAACTTTTGTAATTATGATTTGAAAAAAATTATTTTATAAAAAATACTTTTAGTTAATGTGAATAGTGGAGAGTGAGTTGTTGTTTGCAAAGCATAAATTTTGTGCCTTTGGTAAATCTTAGGTACAACCATGATTTATGATGAGTCCTACAAAAAAAAAAAATCAATTTCAACTTAACTAAATATTAATTTTTGTGGTTGACTTTTAATTTCACACACAGACACAATATTAAACAACCACTTGGTCTAAAAAGTCAAGTTCAATATAAACAAAATTTTGGGATTCAATCTATTTTTTTGTCATGATTAAAAGCTTAGATCATTTCATCAAAGTCCCTTCTTTTGAAAAACCAATTGATATAAATGAAATGTGAGTATCGAAATGTTGAAATTGAAAATAATAAGGATGAAAGGCATAACAATACAAAACTAAAGAATGAAATTGAACATTTTAAAGTACCATGAATACACCGTAACAATTCACAATGCTTAGGTGAATACCACTATAATAAAAATACATAAAATCTCTAGACCTTTTAGTATATTATTAGTCTTGTTATTCGCGTTTTACTAGGGATTGGACTTTTTTTTATCATTTCATTGAGCAATCAAGTTGTAAATACTTAATTATCTCTTTTATTTGGTAATGATAAATAAATCATATTAAAAGACTTTAATTTTTTTTAAAATCTATATTAATTTTTTTGGATGGAGGAGTAAAAATACCTTCACAACAAGGAAATATTCAATGCATACTAAGTTGTCAAATACCAATTGTTTTCTTTTTTAAAAGAAAAACCCAACGAAAAACAAAATCAAGGAGGAAATTCTCTCAATATTTTTCATCTAGGGCAAGGACTCTTCTATTCATATCTCTCTCTCTATTATTTTTTTTAGTAGGTCAATTAAAACCATTGCTAATTTTACTCCCTTTCGTTTCTCTGGAAATAGAAAGTTTTAAATATTATCTATATTATTGAGTGGCAAATCGCTCTAAAATAGGATACATATTATTTTATAAAGTTCTAAAATTGTATTTCAAAGTTTACTTGGCATTAACTTCACCCATTAAAATCAAATCTTCCATGGTAAAGAAGGCAAGAAAGAGAGAGAGAGAATCTTGCTCCACCGCGCTCCATTTTTTCGGCTAAAGACCCTCGCATCAGGAAGAGACGCTTGTATTGCAAATATGGATTCGGGAAAACAGTAGCAAAAACAGAAAAATAGGTTTGTATGTTTCATTGCCATCGTTTTCTACCATCGACCGCTTTCCAAGAAACGTGTTGAACAACGGCAAGGCAGCCTCTAATTTTCCACCATCGTGGGTCCTAACATCATTTTCTTCTCCATTTGATGCTGTCATGGCTTCTTCAAAGAGATGGGCAAGCATCATATCGTCCATTGCTTCTTTCCTTCTTTTCTTTATCATAATCTTGCAAGTGCCCGTTTTCAGGTATTCTATCATTATATCACTTTCTTCTCTATTCATGGATGTTCAGAATAATGGTGATGATTATTTAAAAAAAAAATGTTTTGTTTAAAAATATATTAGAATTATTTTTTTATTTTTTAAAATTTATTTTTAATATCAATACAGTGCATTAAAATAATTTAAAAAATTAATTTTAAAAAATATTTCAAATTTTTAGAAACAAATCATCCACTTAATAACTCTTCGTTCAATGTCCCTGTCAACCGCTCAATCAAGACCTTTTCTCCATCCAGTAGTATCACACCTTGCAAGATTGGAACGATTTTTATTATAATTAATTCTCAAATATTTTCAATAATTCAATTGATTTTTAGTGCAATTCCTTTTCTGCCCCATAAAAAATGTAAAAAATAGTTATGCTATCATTTCTGAGTTGATTTAATGCAATACTTTTTTCTTCGTGTTAGACGAACAACCACATATTAAAGGCGTTCTTGTTTCCTGACCGAAAAATCAAGCTCTAGATATTGTTTTTCTCAAGTTTCGTGAATTAGGGTCAAGTATATCGCCTTGATATGTGTCCAAATAATTTCTTTAGCCGGCCATATATATATATATATATATATATAGATGTCAAGTTTACAAATTACAAGTTCTCCGGTGATAGTAATTCTGTAGTAAAAACAACATAGAGAAAGCTATTTTTTCAGTAAATATCTTAAAGCAATTCATTTTCTTGATTTTTCTCTAAAAACTTTTTTCAAGAACAAAATTTCCAGCAAACAAGTAGAGGCCTGAACTATGATTTTTTGATTCCTGTACTGAAGAATTGAGAGAAATTCTTTGCTTGTCATGGTGCCGATTTCACCCACAAAAGATATCTCTAAAGGAAAAAAAAACACTTATGTCTTGCTTTCTTGTTTTTTCTGACAGGGTACCATGTAGGACTGGAACATGTACTTCACCTGTAGAGGTCATGTCCTCCCACTTGATTGCAACTGAACTCTATCCTGCATTGGGGCCCAAGGCTCTTCTGTATCCTGGTGCCATTGCTAGATCTTATATCAAGAACAGAACCTTCCCAAGCTATAGTAAATTGTCGAAGCTATATAACTTGACCAATCTGAGGAAAACCTCTGCGTCGACTGATCTCCAGCACCTAGAGGTTAGTAACTAGCATTATAAAATTATCAACTCTCTGTCACAATGTTTATGCTAGAATAATTAGATTTTTTTAACCGAAGACATTGACTGCATATTATACATGTTTTTCTAATAAATCAACAGTTGAATACGTATGATGTCTTGGTTGTTTCATAAACTAGACACCATTTGTGTTTCGCTAGATTCTGGCAGGAAGCTACTTAGCAGTAGCAGGAGCAGTATTAGGTCTCATAAGGCTGGGCAGGACGAGCCTCTTTGGAACACTGCTTATCCTATGGGGCTTTGTAAGAGAAGTCATCCTGAAAAACTCCGCTAATATGAATTCCGCGAGGAGTATCCATATCTACCCAGTAACAATGTGCATTGCTCTTCTTTGTGCTTTCTTGGCTATAAGAAAGGATGTTAGAAAGCTTATCCGTTGTTGCAGAACTCGGCGAGGTGCAAAGTCTCTACGGTTTAGAGCGAAAATCATGTGATACTTGCTACTGGATTAGCATTTTTATATGTATAGAAAGCAACCATTCTTTGAATTATATGGCAGGAAAGAATAGAGGATGTTGCATTTGGAGTGCTAGGTATTTAGGGACTTGTCAGAAAACATATGGATTTTTTTTAGATGAATGTGGATATCTGGATTAATTTGCACAAATAATTCCATATATCATGAAATTAACGACAATGTAAACCTTGGAGGGATAGGAGGAGTATGTTTTGGATCGTCTCGTGGCTTGTGATTGGTTCGTCAGCTTTTCTCAACAACTGAGAATGAAAGGAGAAGTTCTATGTGCTGCAGTGACTGAAAAACGAGGACTTTCGAAGATATAAAATTCAGAGAATTTCCAAGACTGTCGAAAGTAGATTTTAAAGGGGGACCGGACCTCCTGTAAAGCACCGATTGCCATGGCCATGGGGTCCTCGGAGAAAGGCAAGTAGTGTATGCGGACAAATATCTTTTTGTCTCTTCCTAGGGTTTTGCTTTCAATGAGGGGTCACACACATCAATTGTAGGTGTGCGCTTGCAATCAATGTGCTATGCTATTGTTTAGGAAATAACAATTGGTTTTCAGTCACTTCAGCTGTTACGATGTAAAATTCTCAGCATGAGACCTTTCATTTGAAATGAAATTTCAAGAATCGGAAAATGCTACTCTCATGCTTCAATTGCATGTTTGGAATTGTAAGCAGTGATGATAATTTAAAATACATTTTATATAGAAATATATATAAATAATTTTTTTTATTTTTAAAAAATTATTTTTAAAATTAACATATCCAAATAATATGCAAATATAAAAAATATTTTAAACAAAAAAATTTAAAATTTTTTATAATATAATTTACACCGAGTTTTCAAACATATAAATATTATTAAAATTGCTAAACCTTTTAACAAATATGTGAAAATAACTAGAGACTAAAAAATCAAACTTTTTCACTCATCAAGTTTGTAATGTTCATTTATTATACTTTGTACTATAAATTAAAATTTTAATTAAATTAAATAAGATATTAATATAATAAAAAATATTTCATCTGATTTGGTTTTTAATAATTCAATTAACTCCATCTCAATTTAAATGTTTAGTACCTTAAAAAAATTAAAAGGTTACTGTTTTAATAAAAAATAATTAACTCTAACTAATCTAATAACTCAACAGCAACGAGTCATTTTCCAAATTAGATTTCCATATCTTGCTAGGAAAAGTAATATAATAGTATTTAGTAGCGGCTAACAATGGGAATCTTGGCATGAGGGCTGGCTCAGGAATATCAGGATTAAAATCATGTGGGGTACGAGATTATCAATCAGGAATGTGCTTATAGCAAGCAGTCATTCAGCATCCAATGTCAAATGGCACCTTCCTTATTGATTTATCATTTTTTTTAAGGGAAAAAAAAAAACTAAAGAACACCTTCGACTTCCAAAATCTTTCAAGGCACATTGTAACTTGATAGTAACTTATAAATTGTTTGGAAAAAATTTGGAAAGTGGAGGGAAGGAGAGAGAGGGAAAGGAAAAATGTAAATTCCAATATTTAAATTCAAGTGGAGGGTGTCGATAAGATTAGGAACACACCCTGGATATGGTGTCGATAAGATTAGGAACACACCCTGGAGATCCATATACTTTGATCGGTGATGATTCTTCGGCGTAGGGTTGCATTATAATTAAAAAATTTTACATAAAATATGCAAAGGTTTTTTTTTTTTTTTTGGTTATGACACAGGGTATTCTCGATTTAACTTGTATATTAATCAAGATTAAATCCTCTTCACATAAGATTGATTGATGTTGATTCTAAAATTTAAATCCAAAAAATAAAAACATACCCTTTTAATCATCAAACCAAGTTCTTTAAATTATATATATAAAAGGGTAAATTGAATAGCAATAGAGCGAATCACATTATGATGCCATGTATATTCTTATTAAAGAAAAAAAAAAAGAATTGTTGTTGAGAAATAAACATTTACGCTAACCTAACAGTTACTTGGATTGCATGAATGAAGTATTTAAGGATACAGTTCGACAGTTTAAGTCACTCCTCCAGTCACCTAATCGACGACACCAAGATGAACTGGATTCTCGTTTCACAGCAGGTTAAGAGAACTCAAGTTGCGATTTCCAGACAAGGTAACAAACATCATTTGTATCTGTAATGTTTTCAGTGATTTTCTTGTTTTAACTGGCGGTAGTTACTGTAGAGCAAGATACAGTGTGAAATGTGAAATTTGGAGAAAACTTACAGGCCTTGAAGATTTCTCTCCACTTGCCAGTTACCTGCCAATGAGTGATGGGTCCATCTTCTTCTTCTTTTTTATTTAATTGGTAAAAGAGAAAAAAATCCTTGAAAATTTGGAGGTTTAGTGTCTTTACTTGCTCCTGTAAGTCCCACTTGCCTTTTCTTGATTTCGATCTTCATTTCGGGTCCTTTTTATCTGCCTCAAGAACATTTCTGGTTTTGGGAAGTTGGGGTTTTTCTCTCGTGTCTGAAGAATATAGGTGGTAGTCCCACTGATTTGCCTTGCTGAAGGAGGTTGTGTCTTTTGTAGCTACTTTTGACAGGGTTTGCAGGTTTTGGAAGTGGGTTGTTGCTTATAAACTCCTAACTTGGATTTTTAAATATAAATTGTGGTTGTCCAAAGGCTGAAATTTGGTAACTTCTGATCATTTGCTTCTTTCGGATGTTGGTTTTCCTTCTGTGAAGGCAAAAATTTAAGGAAGATTGTACATGGAGAACTTATTAAGTAGTTATCAAGTGAAGTATAGAAATTTCAATAAAATTCTTTTTATTTTCTGAGTTTTTGTTCACATGTGAAAAAATAGACTTGAGCTTGCAACTCTTCTCCATTGAAGTTAAATTCATCCCATCTTGTTACTTTGATAAACTTGTTTCTTTTTTGTGTTGGAGATGTTTGATGGGAGCTTGGCAATGCCTTTCCACACGTTGAACCCATGTCATATATTGGGTCATGTAAATACACATAGAGCCCTCCACAAGTCAAGGTTGCAACCAGTTCTAGCTATACCCCCATCATCAATTCTCTTGCACACAGATGAGAGTGGTAAATTTCCTGATTCTAAGAAGGGTTCTGGTTTGAGAGGAAGGGATTCTTCTGATTCATTGCTTAGTCAAGCAAATACAGTGGGTATAATAGGAGGTATATCAGTGAATTCTGCTTTGAATTTCTTGAAAAAACTAGTCCAGGGGAGTTCAAAAGAAGGAAAAGATTGCTTCCCTTTTGTTCTTTGCTCTGATCCAGTATTGAACAAGGAGCTTTTATCACATGAGAGAAATTCTTGTCCTTCTCCCAGAAGGCATAATGAAAAATCTCCATCGGATCATTCTGCAATTGCAGAGAATCTGCAGAATAAAAGGATGTTTCTTGAGAAATCAGGAGTTCAGTGCATAGTAATGCCTTGTCATATTTTGCATTCATGGCATGATGAGGTTTCTAAGGGGTGTTCTGTTCCATTCCTTCATATGGGTGAGTGTGTTGCAAGGGAGCTAAAGGAAGCTAAGCTGAAGCCACTTGAAGCTGGCAGTCCTCTGCGGATTGGGTTATTAGCCTCCAATGCAACTTTGGCTGCAGGGTTCTATCAGGAGAAATTGCAGAGTGAGGTAATTTCATTCTGGGGCTCCTTTTCTCTTATGTATCAGATTATCCTTCCATTACAAATCCAATTAGGTGTGGTCCAAATAATCAGTAATTTCAATCTAACGTTCTGAGAAGCAAAGTATATATCTGGATTTTATTTTTTGATCATGCATGCCTTACAATTCATTAAGTGGGAGTCCCGATCTTCTACCTATTATGACACAATGCTAATGATCACCATATCTTCCAACCTTTTTAAAATATTTAATCATGAAGGGAAATTTTTCTGAAGTTACTGAGGAAGCTTTCATACTATTTACATGCACTCCCATCAACAGAAGTTGTCTGATGCCTGTCTTAAGTGATCTAACGTAATTTCTCCTTAAGATTTGCTTAATGACATGGAATTGAGATTTTCTTTTCCCTTCTTCTATGGTTATTCTGTTGCATGTTGATTATAACCCTTGTTGATTTTACTGCCTTTTTCTGTTTAGTGTTGGATTCATGTTTTCATTTCTTCTTTTTGAATGACTAATGCTTTTAAGATTTTTTTGTTGAGAATAATACAAGTATTGGTTCTCATTTTACTCATGCCATGTAATTACCCCTCAGTGACTTGTGCAGCTGCTCCCGCGGGGCTCATGTTGGGTGTTCTATGCATTCAATTAAAATGAATGGACTGAAATACTGTAGGAATGTCATGATAATTTCCAAATGAAATATGTTAATCTCAATGATTATTTGGTAAGGATGTAGTTCCCATCTTTCTTTGCCTATATAAATGACGTTCATGCTTTTAACATTTTTAGTGTCTCTAGATATCTCTATCCTGGATGTTTTGTTGGGATGCAAGGAAGAGAAGAGGAAAGAAAATTGGTCAAGAAATACTTTTGATAGTGGTTTGATTCCCAAATTGTGAAAGCTCTCATCAGCTTTATCAGAAACTTATGCTAGGCTGTTGATGCCAGTTTTATTTTGTTTTATTTCTGTTTTATTACTTCTGATTTCTGGGATCACATACATTTTCTTCCTTGTCATATTTTGTTGATGAGCCTAACCATGAAACATCAAATGCAGTTGTATCACACATACACATGAATATATGTGTGCTTTCCAACTGTGTTGAATATGCTTCAGTTGCAGGAATTATAGTGTGTTCACTGGTTGCCAATTCTGCATTAGTAGATGCTACAAAAACTCCCTTTTTATGTCAGGAAACAGATTGAATTGCATTTTCTCTAATTTATTATCCTAGATAATCAATTAAGGTGCTACTTTATGTGAATTGTAGATAGTAATGGGATGAATATATTTCAACACCAAACAATGATTTCTGGGCGAAATACAATTTCTTAAAGTTCTAATGCCTTTTGTTACTAGTTATTACAGTCCCATGATCATGTCCTTCCAGCACAGATTAAGTGCATTTCTTACTTTATGTTGATCACAAATGCTCCATGCATTGCCTCAGTT